GTCTAGGGGGTGAACCCGATATAATTCACCGGGCAAGAAAAGCCTAGTTAACAAATCACACGTAAAATCATAGGGACGTAAAATATAGGGCGTAATTATCATAGGGACCCGTCATAGAAAGTGGACTTAACCTTATCCTGCAAGTTTCATTTCTGTTACCACAGAGAATGGGACTTACACCATAGCAGAAGTACGAACCGCGATGTTCGGACTGCAGGCGCAACAGCGGAGATCACTCAAACCGCCGGGACAACGCCCCACGGGAATTGTTCCCTTGCGCATATCACCTGCGGCCGGGCTTCCGCGACGAGAATGATAGAGCCTACTGCTTCTACTTGGAAGTGGTGAGAGGCAACATTGATGCATACTGCCACATGACCAGCCGCGATGGAAGCCACCTGTTTCCCCTACTGACGGACCACGAGCAGATAGAGATCTACGATCTCTACATGCAACGCAGTGGTGCCCGACAACCTGGCTGGAGCAGTACCGGAACCCAGATTCCTCCACTCAGCCAATCGGCTCGAGAACGGAAAGAGGAACGAGACCGGGAACGTCGAGCCCGTAACACGGGTTCTGACCAGTCTTCAGGACGCGGCCCAACGGCCGCCCCGAAAACATATGGACATCAGCAACGGCCATCGTCAGGCTCTTAATCCTACGGATATGAGATGTCTACACCGACGACATACAACCAGATCCTGGAAAACATCAACAAAGCTATGGTTGACCAGGTGGCCAAACAGCTGATGGAAGGTGGACTGTTGGATGCCTTGAAAGGCCAATATCAGCCAGCGCGTACAGAGCAACGCACGCCACTGGCACCGCTACCGCGGAACCCAGATGACTTACGTCATCAGATCCACAGCCGCAACCAGGACCAAACTGGCCGCCGTAGCCAGCCCGAGCAGCGCCAAACGCGCACATCACCCGGGAAACGGAGCGAGGCAGAGTCCAGTCTGGTTGTCGCTCAGTCCACCAAGCGACCAGAACGAAGTGTCAGCTCGGTGGCCCACAACATTAGCATTCAGATACCAATGGAGACTGAGTCCGCACCGCCGTCATCGGACCCACCGGCCCGACAAGACGCAAGCGTCAGTGCCACGGACTTCGACCCATATAAACATGCTGAGGACCAGGGCATCAATATCCGGTCACGTCCCCATCGGGAGGTGACGGATTACATTATGGGCGCTATTCCATACCCTAGGGATAGATGGGCCCAAGTTGACGCCATGGTCCAGAACCTGCAAACTTTCGTCGTCCGGTCCGGACTTGAGATGGAAATGCAGAAAAAGGAGTGGCCCCGTGCTTTTAGCATGGCGGAACATATCGACAACCGCGAGGGCTACCCAATGGTCCGTGATAATGCTCTATCGAGCATCACGGACGTGAACTTACTCGGACAGCCCGTTACCAGACCGGACTGGAACGACTTGTGCCAACTGCACATAAAGGACGACCAACTCGACGTCGTCAAATACCTGGCCCAGTTCGTCCTACCGGACGCGAACGCCAGTTTTATAATCGCAGCATCAAGAGCCGCCATGGAAATCCCATGCAGGCCGGCCGACCACAAGGATGTCCCGGGAACGTACGCTTATTCGTACAACGGCACGATGTTACGCATCTTCGCCGCTAGACTCGGACACCTACGGTGCCACTGGGAACTTGAAGTTGCCTATCGGCAGGGGACGATCATTCCTCGGTTACTGACCCAGGTGGCCCTCCTTGGAAACCAAATCCACGAAATCGAAGCGGGAGTCAAAATCCAAAGCGCCCTGAATGTTTTCAGGAGCCGCGCCAAAGACTACCGTTATCGCCATCCAACGGACTTCGACGACGGTGCGGAAGCATTCGTTAACCGAACGGCAGCGCGGAAACTTCCAACGAAGTTTCGCACTCAACGATCCTCAACAGGATCGTCCGCACACGTCCAGACCCAGGCCGAACAGTCTGGCCCAGAAGTCCAGCCGACCAGCACCTCCAGCCAACATCAACATAACCTGACTGAACAGGAATTGGCGGACATGGAGGAAAGCGTCGTTGACCCACTCAACCCAGGGTTGGGCGACGGCGACCAAGCCGGACAAGGAGGGCAGGAATAGGCCAACGGCCATTCCTGCATGTCGGCCCTAAAATTGAACCGGCACCGGCTGAACCGAACTTGAACACCATGGTGGGTACAATCCAACGGTTGTGACCCTCGCCCAACAAACGTGGCTTACAGCCATGTATCGTCTACCTCACCGGACCTTAATCCCTGGATCTTAACCGGATTCCCCGGATAGGCTCTGGCTTAGCGGCTGGGACCATGAATTTGGCTCGGCCATCTCAGACCATCCGACGGAGTCCATCGGACCGAACTTGGCACAAGGCCTGGTTCACCGGCATGGAAAGGATCCAGCGCCCAGAAGGCAGCGACGGCCCGCATAGAAGTTGCGACAAGCCGTGGATCGATCCTGGCCCGCATAGAAGTTGCGACAAGCCAAGGATCAGCCTGGCCCGCATAGAAGTTGCGACAAGCCAAGGCCAAGTCCTGGCCCATAGAAGTTGGACCAGGCCCGCTGTGTGTCCAACGGACCATATGCGGCTCACGAGTTTAGTTGCCATACCAGGCAACTGGGACAAGTGAGTTTGGGAGCCACATAGATGTTGTGGTACACCCACTTTGCATGCCACGTCCAACATCCTCACCACGGACCGCCCAGAGGCCCATCCAAAAGATGCACCGCCCCGAGGCCAAATGAGGATGCTTCTAGTCAGCAGACCGACTCCTTTGTGGAAAACGCCTACCGGCGCCCACAACTTAATTTTTTGGAGTTTGGCCCGGCTAACCTGATGTTTTCGTCAGGAGCCACTTAATTTTGTTATGGCCACGGTCTCAGGGAAAATTGCCTATCTGACTCATCGGACATGGTAGCTAACTCATGGCCCCCGGCCAATGAGACGGACCAGACTCAACGAGTCTGCAACTTTGGCCCGCCATACACTTTGGACCGTCGAAAAAACGACTAAGTCCTTTTGGCCCGCCATACACCTTGGACCGTCGAAAAAGCGACCAAGTCCATTTGGCCCGCCATCCATTTTGGACCGTCGAAAAAGACTAAGTCTTTTGGCCCGTCCAACGACGTGGCCCACCAAAAATCGACTAAGTCTTTTGGCCCGTCCAACGACGTGGCCCACCGAAAAATCGACTAAGTTTTTTGGCCCGTCCAACGACGTGGCTCATCAAAAAAACGACTAAGTCCACATCGGAGAGCCAAAACCTGTTATACAGGACCCCCACGTCCCACACCAGCCGGAGGCGAGCCACATCACAATGGAACCCCGTATCCCGGCCCAGAGCATGTCAGAGACCGAGTTTGGACCGCCCCAACGGGTTTGGTCCATCACACCACCTCGGTCCTGGGACTTAGAAAATTTTTCCATTATGGCCCTCCTGGACTTAGAAGATTTTTGGCCCGAGGTGCACGACCAAACCGGCATGAAGGGCCAAACCCGACCAAAATGGACCACCTTAACGGGACTGGTCCAAAGCACCAACTTTGGCCACGGGAAAGGAATCCGACAGGACTCCCACTCCCGCCACACCAGGGACAACCCTAACGGGTCAGGTCCAACAGAGGCATGTCTGACCAAAGCATGGCCATCCTAACGGAATTCGTCCAAGCATACTATTTTGGTCACAGGAGCACCTCTCCTGTCCAGAGGCATTACTCTGGCCCTATATGGACAGCCCAACCGGGCTTGGTCCACCATACTTAAACCAGGAAGGGGACAACCTGTCCTTGCGAATGCAATAGTGCCTTCCATATACCGCACCACGGGTCTGGAGCAACCGACCCTAACGGGTTTAGAGACAAAGTGGCATCCGGCCCTACCGGGTATCGGATCCTGGCACCCTACCGGGTTGGCCAGGGGCAGAGTCGGAAGGTGCTCGCAGGAGCTCCCACTCCCGCCCAGAGGCATGTCAGAGACCGCACACTCGAGGCGGTAGACACCTCTTGTGGCTTTGCTCTGTCGCCCGCCCGCACATGGCTACTCCATTCGTGCCGCGCTATTACGCTGCTCACTCAGCGTATACTTTGTCTACGCTGACCAATCAGCGCATTTCTGCACTCTTGGGGGCGTAGCCCAGCGCCTACGAGCGATTCCATGCTTTACGGCATCAGCTGTTGCATACCTGCAGCACGCTGCATCATTATCACGATTCTCACGAGCTCGCTGGCAGCTACTTTCCACAGCTTACGCCGCATTGGCTTTTCTGTGTTTGTTTGTGGTTGCTTTATTGTTACCAATAAAGGCGATATTTGCCCCATTTTCCATCTGCTTCTGTGTCATATCTGACACCGCCCACCGTGGACTGATTTTTTCGTGCATCATTCTGTTACTACTGAGTAGCTAATGGAGCGATGCACGAAAAAAGTTTTCTTTGCATATACAATACTTGCCGTGCTCCTCCTGTGCCGGTACTAGCTTCTGCCTCCACGCGCTAGGCTCTATAGCGCAAGTCGAGCACGGCTGCCAGCAGCGCGTGACCTTTCGCCTATTGTGCCGTTGCGCCGCACCGGAAGCTCCAAGGACGCCGGGAACAACAGTTTGATATCGTATTCTTCACACACAGCAGGTATCCAGGTGGGCGCTTTCTTCCAGCCTCGAGCATGCGACGCCATGCGTCGCCCATTGCGGTGTACATGCAAGCTGTACGTAATACGATTATTATACAGCCGGCGTAATTATAAGCTGCTTACGCGCTCTAACAATGCCAGTATTATTCCTGGATTAAATAACACGCACAATACCGAGATCGTAGTCAGAAATTGCGATCACCTGTCGGCAGGGTGCTGCAGGAAGTCCCGCATTTCCTCACTGTGAACTTGATTTTCGCTTTGCACATCAAGCATCCTTAATTCGCTCCGTAATTTTATTAGGAATTTTCCAAACGTTCTTTTATTATTATCCACCGTGTGTTTCATTTTTAAGTCTGCTTTTTTTAGATGCCTATATATTTAATAACTGATTAAGCAAGCAATATATGCCATTTCCGGTACATTCGCTTATACAATTCATAAGCGCATTTTTCCGCTTAATGCCGCGATGAACAACAGCTCGCGGATCCTGGTGAATGTCACCGACGGCGCCTCGTCCGTCTTCGCCGAGTATCAGACCGCCTTCGTCGCCTTCATGGCGGTGACCTTGGTCATCTGCGTAGCCGGCAGCCTGCTCTTCCTGCTCCCGATGGCGGTGGTGCTGCGACAGCGCCGGCTCTTCCGCAGCTCGCGCCTCCTCATCGCCAACCAATCTTTCATGGAATTCCAGCTGCTGGTCGTCCACCTCCCGCTGGCCGTCCTCGGCACGTACCTGGCCGAGACACGCAACAGCGCCCTCTTCTACAACGACCGTTTCTGCACCGTCCAGTTATTTATCAACCTCTCCACGGTGGTGGCTAGTTTATGGGGCCTGTTCATCCTGGCGGTGAACCGCTACATCGCCGTGACCTTTATCAACCCGGAGCGCTACCGCCGCTGGACGTCCAGCGGCGTCCAGCTGCTCCAGATCGCCTTCGTCTGGATCGTCGGTTTCAGCTGCCATTTGTACTTCTTGGCCGTGCCCCTCGGAGGCGCCGCCACCGCCGGCCGCTTCCCCTTCAAGGGGTGTATCGTGCGCAGCGGGACGGCGCTGCTGTTGAAGCAGATCTTTGGACACTACCTCCCGGTGGGGCTCACGGCGCTGACGTACCTGCTCTTGATGATGCGCTTCCTGTGGGCGCGCCACCAGCGCCGCGTTCATCCCGACACCGCCGGCGTGAAGGAACGCGAGGGCCGCGCCTTCCAGCGGCGCGTGCTGCTGTGGAAGATCTTTCTATTGGCCGCCGCGGTGCACTGCGTGACCTTTCTGCTGCAGCCGGTAGCTGTTTTTCTCTTCCCGTATTCCAGCCGGCATCCTATCGTCTCGCTGTGGACGCGGATCGTCTTCAACCTCGGTCAACTGTCCACGCCGGTTGGTATAAATATCAGCCGTGACCTTTGCCAATATTTAGTTAATTCCCGCGTTAATTGCAGATTATGCTGATAGCGTTAAGTAAAGATTGTCGGGCGGGGATCGCGGAGGTGTGTCAATGCAGCGCTAATATCCGGCGGAAGCGGCGGGAGACGGCCTTCTCCATGCGATCCACGGAGCGGTCCCGCGGGAATACGCTGACCAAGAACACCGATTCCTGGCCCACAGCACGGCGCAGCGTCACACGCCATTAACGCAGCCACCTTCCCGCAAAAGCGCCTCACACCTTAATGGCGCTGGCGGAGACATTTTCTACCTATCAAATTGTTGCCCGTTTCTGACTTACGCTGCTAGTGCCGCTTAGAATCACCGACATGGTTAACGATCCACAATAATTGCGCACTGCCACCCTGACCGGCTCTAGTACTAGACGTCATTCAGCGCCGGTTTAGATCGGCAACAGTTTGTCAAATCGAACCGGTATTAAACACGATATACGTGATCGATTCACAATAATTAGCATAGTTATAGCATAATCCCAGCCTAGCTAGCGCTCTTCTTCGGAGATCCCTTGGAAATTTGCAGTATCGGATCGGCCTTGTCGTACGTTTCAAACGTACGTATAATTACATGGGTTTCCGCTGCGATCATACTGCAGTATGATTATGATGGCATACTAAACGAACGGGCGCTAAAGCAGCAGCGGTAGTTCCTTATAATTACGATTATTATTATTCCCCAGTCGATCATGGAGCAAGTCGGAACCGCGATATGATAAACAGCCTTTCGTCTAAGTACTACGGTAGTATTGCAGAGGACTGACGCCGGCAACTGTTTTCCATCCGGGTTGATCAGCTACTTTTGTTCACTGCCTTCCGGCTGCAGTCACGCCAACCAGTTACACGTACACTGTCTTACAGTACCGAAAGATTACGGTACTGAGACCTCTACCAATGAGCATAAAGCTTGCTGGTATTCCCAGAATATTAGGTTTATTTCCTAATATAGATATATAATGCATACTGTAATTGTTATACGCATCACTTGGGCCTTAATATGTTAATGACAGTGGAGATTCTCGCTCTGCCTAGCTGACACGGTGCTGATGCGCTTGATATTTGTGAGAGATCCACTGTTTTATATTAAACTTGCTGCGGTTAAGAAACCTCATTAATAATTTTGTTATCCTAAACGCTTACTTCCATCCGGCTTCGGGGGATAACGAGCAGTCATGTCATCCAACAACAGCAGCGCCGCCACCGGCTGGAGCAACGCGGCGGCCGGCATCGCCACCGTCCAACTGCTCCTCATGTCGCTGTGCAACGGCCTCGTCCTGCTCCTCTTCTTCCGCTGCCGCCGGCTCTGGCACCCCTTCGACGCCTACCTCCTCAATCTGCTCATCTGCAACCTCCTGTACGCGGCCACGCCCTCCCTCCCCGGCCTCCTGACCGTCCTGCAGCCCCAGCGCTCCCTCCACCCCGTCGGCTGTTTCCTGTACCTCTTCGGGATGTGGGTGGTCAGTCTGCTGCAGATGTCGGCGCAGCCCCTCATCGCCGTCGTCCGCCTGTGGGCGCTGACCTTTCCCGCTTCCTTCCGCCGCCGCCATACATGGAGGCAGGCGATCATCCTGTGCGGCGGCGCTTGGTGTGTCGCCTATCTCCTAACTTTACCGGGATTGATCACCGAATTTCTCCTGTACCGTTCCGCCGGCGCCGACAGCTGCGAGGCATGTTTAATATACTTTTTCTTTATTCAGGCAATAGCCAATTAAAATAACAATACGCCTGCGCATATAGACACTAACGAGAAATTCCAGTTCACACATTAAAGAAATAACCAAAATCATTATATATATGTACAGCTGTGACTGTTCAAAGGCGGGCGGGCATATATTGCTGCTTTATAATTTAATGCAGCTTACCCAAAGTGCCCGCCTAGCTAGACGCTCGTATCCAACTCCTGAACTTCAGCTTCGCATTTAAACAAGCCGAACTTCTCACCCATATAAAGTTTGAGAATAGGTTAACGTACGGTATATGTAACGCTGATATATCGTCCACGTCATTTAACACCCGATATTCCAGGTGTCACTAAGCGGTAGTGAGGGAACCGCGTGGATGTTACTGATCCAGTGCGCCAGTCTGCTGTGTCTGCTCATCGTCCTACTGACCTACCCGGTGATCTATATAAAGGAGCGCCGACGCCGCCGCCTTCGGACCGTGGCGCTGCCGACGGTTACCCTGGAATCCGGGCCCAGTAGCAGTTAGCAGTAGTGTGTATTTTATTAGTATGCCTGTCTGACTGACACCTCTGCATGTCGGGAATGGGGACGTAGGCCGGGTGGCGGACACCCAGGTATCCGGGTGGCGGACACCTACGTCGCCTTCAACCGAGTCTGTTAATGTTAATTGCATTTGTGTATAATCTCTCTTTTGAAGTGTAGCAACAATGAGTTCTACCTGTAGTGCTGTGTGTATGAGCCCTATGGATCAGGTCAACGATGACCTTAACAATACCTATAACGATTAGGCAACGCACCGGTGTTTGACTGACCTTTAATGATAATCAATGTGCCCACTACAACAAAGCTATAAGCTAAACAAAAGGTCAAGCTAGTACAATCGCTGGATGGTCCGGTGCAGGGCTGGCTGTAGACTGCTGGTCGGTTGACTTCGCAGGGGAAAGCACACTGGCCTCCGGTGGTTGCAGCTGTGGTTTTATATACCCGCGCGGCGGAGTGGTGCCGCCAGCCGGAGGGTGTGGTCACTGGCGTTATCGCGTGGGAATGAGGCCGCATGATGCAAGGCTGAGCGAGTCTGATGCAAGGCTGATGTCATATGATGTAATCGTCGCTGACCTCGATGATGCTGATGACTAAGCCGTCCGTGACAGTCCTCCTTTTTGAGATTCGACGTCTCTGGCGAATCCAACAGGAACAGGAAGTAAAAAACAATTATATACGAAAATTTAAAAAATCAAAATACACAATTTCCACAGCAGAAAGAACCGTTGTAGTGGGCATTACAGTATCAAATAACTGTGAAAAAACAGGCATGAATTTTATATAAAAAAAACAATGTTAGTACAATATATTGCAACAACTTAACAAAACATACACAGTATAATGTATATATAACACGACACAAATGTAAATATTCTGTTTTTTATTTTATATTAATCGGTTTTATATTCAACAATTAATCATTAATAATTCTTCTTTTTGTATTTTAATATAAAAAGGAATAATAATAAAAATTAACTTCAGTACAAACTTATTGCTGGTCGGCAGCACTACGGTTCACAATCACGTAGCGAGGCATATCCTCGTCCGGACTTGCTGGTGTCTCCGCGCATTGCTGAATGTCATCATTGGCCATCGGGCTGGGGCTTCGTGGTGTTTCGACATAAGGCGGTGGTGAGCGCAACTGGGCAAAATACGCAGGCAAACAAAGCTCCCGGTTCGAGCGGATAATTCCCCTCGGATGAGGAGTAGGCTGCCGCTTGAATGGTCGTGGCTGCACCATCGCCATAGTCGGCGCCTTGGTTGCCGGTTTAGCGAAGGCCGGAAAAACGAAGGAACGTGGCGGTTGCTCTTCACGCTGAGGGCTGCTCCGCTGCACAGCTGATGGTCCCGCTACCATCTGATCGGTGTGCCCAGAACTGCACTGATTTTTTTCGGCGGCATCCCAAATCTTTCGGCACTTGGTAAGCGCGTCCCACAACAAATCGTTGTCTTTTGCAAGCGTCTCCAAGGCAGTCGTGGTCCGCTGTGCCATGTCCATCAGGATGTTCATAGCAGGCTGGTCATGCGGAAAACCTTGCTGGTTGACAACGGTATGCGTGAATTCCGTAAACTCATCCACCATGGCTTTGATGGCGTTGTCTCGGGTAATCTTCATACGGTGGAACGATTCAATACGCGCATTTCTGGCACTCTTGCGGCTTACCTTCTTGAACGTCATGACTATCCGCGGTGGTTGATATGGAATTTCTGGAGAGGCAATCCGGCCGCTGCGTGGGTGATCGTTAGCAATATCCATTGCAGGTAATAACAGGTTGACGGGCAAAGTCACTGTATCCACTACTGAAGTAGAATCGTCAGGAACTGTATGATCCGGTACACTAACAGCTAGTTCCGCATGAGTGGGCAACTGATGGTCTGTGCAGTGTTTTATATCCACTTCTGTCTTCCGTCTGCGGCTGAACAGTACTCGCATGCCTTTCCGATCGCGGGCAGTGCACCAGTTCCCAACGGTGCCGGCCCGACTCCCAGCGTCTGAGACGTTATTATTTTCGTTAAGCAGGCGCGTCCCGAGCAACCATCTTAGCAGTATTAACCCTACATAAATGCCAACTAACATAACTGTAATACTAACAACTGTACCAACTGTTTGCTTGATGCGCACGTCCATGCCCCAGTCATGGATGAGTGCTTTGTTAACGTGACAGGCGTTGAAAGACCACTGATGAAAAACTGTTGCAGATCTGTAGCACGTGCTGGCTGTTGCATGTACACGGAGTCAGCATGATAATATGTTGCCGATACATCCACAATCGGGTCAAAGCGGCTGTTAATGTGTAGATGTAGTGCTTGTTGCGTCACTTTGTATATCCTTTTCCACGTGTTATTTATGACCGCATAAATATTATTATTAAAAGAAACAAAAGGCATTGTATGTACACATTTGTACGGTAATAATGTAAGGCCATCCAATCCAATTGTATAATCATTATACCGCGGTTGTAGATATTGACAGGAACCATAAGAATTCTCCACCGTAAATGTAGCATTGATTTTTCCACATTTGAAAACGGCTGCTTTGTCAGTTGTTATCATGTGTACAGCAAAACATTTAGGGTATTTGAGCGCTTTTGCCGCTAATACCGGGCTAAATTGCGATAAAACGACTAAGTTCAACAAAACGTGTTATCGATCCGGCAATCAAGAGCAGCCACATTTGAAGAGATGTAATTAAGATTTTTGTATCAATATCTGAGAAATAGTTAAAATGTTGAGACAAGAAGTTTTCTTGAAATAATGCAAATTCTTGCATAGTTGCATTTTGTAACAGTTTTGTCATATTTTTATTCTCATTTTTTAAATTCAGCTTCGGTTTTTCGTAATAATTATTTACCGGTCCAAGCGTAATTTTCAGATTGGGATTTCCGATAACTTGATAAGCCTCCACTTCTTCACCGCACAGTTTTACGCTCTTCCCAATATAATAATCTAACTGATGAACATCATCACGAAGGCGCCGTACATCATTCACAGAATCTAGCTCGCCGTAGCCGTAATTTTTCCTTAACTTTTTTACAATTTGACGCAGTGCTGGCGTTAGTCCTCCATACATACGTCACATAATTAATCATTGCAAACTGCTGCATTTTGTCTTTTGCAATCATCATTGTAGCAGAATCCACGGTGCAATTTTTTACACTTCTGGTTTAACTGTACTTCCTCCAATATGCAATTAATAGAGTCATAAGTAATTTCCTGTAAATACTTTCCATTTCCTTCCGAATCTTTAGTGTAATCCCATACATTACCAGTGTTGACCATATCGTTTCCAACACATTTCTTAGAGTGTACCATTTGCCAGCATTCGTCCACAGATACGGCTTTATTTAGTACCGATTTTATTGTATCTGTTCCTCCAAAGAAGAAAGAGGACACAACAGTCCGTTTAATGACTTGTTTGCACATATAAGCAGTAAATGATAATTGTGGGAGCTGCTCCTCATAGAGTACGTAAGCTCTTGTATTCGGTGTTTTTCCATTATTTGGAGCTCCACAAGCTGAAAAATTTTTTAACGAGACCAAACCTAAGAAGTCTTTCCGGCTACAATCACAAACCTCCTGGGTCAACGCGTTTGCGCCATTAAATCCAAAACATAGCAACATTATAAGGATGAGTAACATGCTTGTTCCGGGAAGTAAACATTTTGGTAGTAGGGTCCTCCTTTTTAGCGGTTCTCTTGCACTGAGTTTCTGCACCCGGTTCATCATGTTACCAGTTTCTTCCGCAATGATTTTACATGCATTCTGCAAATCCTGAGCTGTCGACTTTATTTTTCCAATGGAATCTGCCATCCGTAATTTTTTATTCTCTTCCTCTAACCACAAAATCCTTTCGATGTCTTCATTAGACTGTTCCCAGAACCGGCCAAGTAAAATTTCATCATGTCGCCTTTTTTCTTGGCACTTCTTTCTGTAGCAATCGTTACTGCTAAGCAGCTCTTCACTGTGCAGTTTTAGTAGTTCCTCTAGTCTTTTGACATTTAATGCGGGGGTCACAAGTGGCCGGTCGGGCTGAGTTGGTACATCGTCCATAGTGATGCGATTTATATATCCGTACCGTTCTGGTTTTTGAACTGTTCTTTTTGGTCTTTGTTCAATTTTTTCGTCGGTTTGACCCGCGTCCTCGGTGTCTGTAATTATTTCATCATCATTATTTTCAGAAATGTCCGACCTTTCACTTTCCACATCGAGTACGTTTTTGGTTTTTATTTTTTCTTCTGCAGAGATTTTTTCATTTTTTCTATAAACATTTTCCCGTAGTTGACCTTTCCAAGTAGGTTCCGATTCTCTGCCCGTAGCGTAATTTTGATCGCCTCTTGATACAAATTTTTTCAATCGCGAAACATGTACTGTATCTTCTAGGTGTTTTCCGAAACAAGCTTTTACCCTATAATTTACTTCCGAAATTCTATCCGTTATTATAAACGGTCCAAAAAATCTGTGGTTAAGTTTGTTAGTTGTCTTCAGCTTCCTGTGCGGGTTATAAACTAACACAGAGTTCTCCAACATTGAACGTTTTGCGACGTGCATTTTATCATAATAAAAGGATTCTTTCAAACCGGCATCCTCTATCCTGGCTCGCGCAATTTCTCGGGCTGTGCTTAGCGAATTGTCAAGCTCCATTACGTAATTATCAACATTAATGTCTTGTTCTTCGACGTCAGGAATGAGACCGACATCACAAGGTAACTGAGCCATTCGCCCAAACATAAGATAAAACGGTGTAAACTTCGTGGTTGATTGTGGGGTAACATTTAATGCAAAGATTACCATTGGCAAGGATGTATCCCAATCTTGTTGGGCAGAGGAACAATACATCGCTAAAGACGTAACAATTGTACGATTCATATGTTCCACTAGACCCTGACTTTGAGGATGATAACTAGTCGAACGATTGTGGATCGTCCCGGTTAAGAAAAGTACGTTCTTAAACAGTTCACTGCAAAACGCTGAGCCTCTGTCGGT